TTAAATGTATCAAAATTTCAATGCTTTGTATCAATTTAAAAAGCTAGGGATGCCAATTCTAGACAATGTTAACTCTACACATAAAAACAAGTTTGCCTCCCTCTCCTAAATTATCCTTACTAATCAGTGCACAGGACTATTTCTTAAGGGTCAGTATTTCAAAACTATTCCATTTCACTATCAACAACATAAAATTGTAGTTTCCTTTACAGGTTTCCTCTTGCCAATTTATTCTTTAGTGAATAACGTGGAAATGAGATGAACTACCAAGATTATATGTGGCATTAATGCAAAGCAAAAATGCTGCCTAAAGCATGTTTTATATAACTGCAAATAAAAATGCTAAAAAAAAAAACCAGACACCTACTGAATCTTGTATTTTAACCTCCTCCACCTAAAGCAAGGATCCACATAGTCATTCTGAGCTTCCAAGTAGACTAAAGGGCTGGCCTTAAAGTGGGTTTCACCATCTTTCCTTCCAGTGAAATGGCCTTCTGAGTAAGGGGCTCACACATGACATCACTTTGGAAGGAAGGGGATGGGCAGGAGGGAAAACTATCAGATGACTGACTTCACGTTCAAATTCTTTATAGACGGCCTGAAACTGGTGCGTTTTCCACTGCAGGCAACACACAAAGTTTACTTTCTTTCCTAACTTTAATGCTGCCAGAATACACATGTACTTTTACTTTCTTAGGAGAAAATGTGTCATTTGATTTCCTTCCAGTTTATGTACTCGTGCCAACAACCAAAATGCTTAAAGAACCAAAATGAATTAGTACCCAGAAACGGTGGTCAAAGTTTCAAAATTTGATCAATAAAATTGCTCATCTACTCACAAATTAATCTTCAGCCAGTAAAATTACAAATTTTCGAGGTTATGAGTACACCTGCACTGTTAAGCATTTATTTCACTTGTTTAAGCAATCTTCAGAAATATATAAAAGAGAGCCTAGGCTGGGCATGGTGGTTCATGCCTATAATCCTAGCACTTTGGGAGGCCAAGGCGGGCAGATCACCTGAGGTCAGAAGTTCAAGACCAGTATGGTCAACATGGCAAAACTCTGTCTCTACTAAAAATACGAAAATTAGCTGGGCATGGTGGTGCATGCCTGTTGTCCCAGCTACTCTGGAGGCTAAGGCAGGAGAATCACTTGAACCTGGGAGGCGGAGGTTGTAGTGAGCCAATATCGCACCACTGCACTCCAGCCTGGGTGAAACAGTGAGACTCCGTCTCAAAAAAAAAAACAAACCATCAAACAAACAAAAAGCCTACTATTTTTACTCATCTGTAATTTTCTTTTTGCAGCAAAACCTTGTTAATTTGTTTACAACTCATAAACCTCCTGAAGGCAGGGTCTGTCTCTTCCATGGTTCTGTACCCTATGAACACCAGCACAACGCCCAGCTTGCTTTGGAAATGTTCAACCAACTTGCATTCAATTAATTCAGATCATTCTGATTCTGAATTTATGATGGGGCCAATTTTCAATTTTCATTTGTGTCATTCATAAAAAAATTTGCAAAGCAAATGAACAGAATAAGTAAAAAGATAATTTTGGTTACTAAGTAGACTATTTCTCAAAAACCTCAGAAGCAATATCTATACCTGATTAATGCCTTCATTAATAAACCACATCACCCAAGAATGTGACCTGCTCAGATTTGGTTCGGTATGTGGATCTGCAAAGAGTGTCATTTCTTTCTTATTTACTCTCATCTCCTGAAATTAGAACAAATTGGTGATGTTTGACTACATTTTATGATCTCTATCGAGTAACCACTTATAGCCTCCTCTAACTTTCCATTTTCTTTTGTTTGTATCATCAGCCTGTGAAACCAGAGAGCGCTGCCAAACACAAAGCAGGGAAGTGTGAGATATGCTTAAAATATGAGTCACAGTATATTTGGGGATTTGGGTTTCTTTTTTTTTCCCCCTCAAGCTATCAGCAGATCAAATCCTTCTTCCCTGTCAAGCCTTCTTCTATGCAGAAGATCTGAAATTTGCTAAAATCGGTCTCCTAGTGTAGTTATGAAGGGTGAGAAGATCAGAGATGAGCACTGTTAAGATTTGCTGTAGGATTTCCCTTTCATTTCAGAGCCACTCCGGCGGAGATGCCTCAGCGAGGATGCAGTATGGCAAGATATATTTAAATATGAAGGTTATTCCTTCTGTGAATCACCAAGTCTATAGGCGTATTTTTATAATGAGGTAATATACCATGTGGCCTAGGATAGTAATTTCTCCTCTCTGTTTGTGGAAGGCCAGCCAACCTAATAAAGCTTACTGAATGTGCATGACCTATCAGGCAGCTGAGGGGTCCTTCGGCGATTGTCTATGAAGCACACGCACACACCAGTCCGTCAGCCGTTCAGATTTTTCCCCCCCTGGCCAACTTTTAAAGCTGGTCTAAATTCTCTGCTTGTCAACTCCTCTACTTGGGGGGTAGGGAAAAACTTAAGACATCTTCTTTAGCAAAACCAGCATTCAAGCTTACCCCCTCTCCCCCCACTTTTTTATACAGACTGAAGTGCTCAGCAGAATGTGTGAGGTTGGTTTTGACACTGTCCTTGCCAAGAAAAACGAGGCCCTCTATATCATACTCTTCTGCATGGTGGCTAAAAACCCTGTAACAGGCAAGAAGGAAAAGAGCCCTCAAAAGGAAATCCCCTGAAACTTTACTTCTTATATTTAGCCCTCAAGGAACTTCATTCAACTTGGAAAAGAAGTTACCTAAAAATGCCATATGTTTTTAAAAAGCAAGTATGAGGGAAAATAATTCTACCATAAAAAAATCACAAACGATATTCAATACTGAAGAGCAGTGTGATCATACAGATTGTGTATGTGTGTATTTTTTAATTATCTCTAACCAAAGCTCTACTATGTGTAAGATTTTTCCCCCCAATAATATATTTTCATTTTCCCAATGCACTTGAGGTCTGATGAATTCAAGAGGACTCGGGGTATTTTTAAGGCTGTGAGAGCTCCAAGAGGGAGGCAAAAAGAATGGACCATCATTTGAATCACTGAGTGACAGGCTGGGCTAGCTCCCTGTATACATTAATAAATTAGAATTTTAATTGTGTCTCTGTCCACAGGAGATGCCCTGGTACTTTAATATGTACCAACAATTGGCTATGTTATGGAATCTGCAATGTGGCCTCCGCTGCTGACCTCTGAAACACAATTCCCAGTCTGACTACGGAAACTGTTCAGTTTGATCCTTTCAACTTATTTGAATCCTGACAAATAAGCTCACAGCTGAAAGGTCAACATAGTCATATTTCATCCTCCAGAGCTGTTCTTAAGACATCTGCACAACAAAGCACTTCTTATAGCACCTGACATGGGCCCTCACTGGCACTGTACCTCATTAAAAATGTCCCCTGCATGCGCATGTATTCCAAGGCACATGGTTCGATGATGGTTTACCAAATAAGTGTTTACAGAAGAGTCAGTAAACAAGGCACATTGTCAACTTTTCCAGTAAAGTGTCACTATAGTGCTGAAATCTCTCTGGAAAGTGACAGTCTCCCTAGTACATATAGAAGAACCAGAACTTGTTGGTCAAGGTCAGTTTGATCTTTGTGGATCATTTGGGAACAGGTTGTGGTTCACCCTGACCTCTGAAAAGTCAACACAAGCTAGAATTTAGGTTGACCTCATTATCCAATTAATTGGCACCAAGTTATACACCTATCAGCCCCTGCTTACAGAGTCTGTCCCCTCCTGTGATAGGGGTGCCCATCTTCAGCTATGAATATAGTCTGAACCACTTAGGACCAGGGTGCCAAGTGCCCTCTCTGAAATGTGAGCATGAAGACCCTGGATTCAAGTTTCTTAGAAATTTCTATTACAATTTTCTACTTTGAGTCAAAAATCCAAATTAGATTTTTTTTTTCTTTTTTTGAGATGGAGTTTTGCTCTTGTTGTCCAGGCTGGAGTGCAGTGGTACGATCTTGACTCTCCTTAACCCCTACCTCCCGGGTTCAACTGACTCTCCTGCCTCAGCCTCCTGAGTAACTGGGACTACAGGCACCTGCCACCACACGTGGCTAGTTTCTGTATTTGTCACCATGTTGGCCAGGCTGGCTCCTGACCTCAAGCGATCCACCTACCTCAACCTCCCAAAGCATTGGGATTACAGGCGTGGGCCACCATGCCCAGCCCAAATTGGATTTTTATAAATTTACTGCTTCTTCCACTCCATTAAACCCTTGCCTTCAATGTGCCTGAAATCAGAAGTTGCTGGAACAACCTTTTTTGTCATCTTTACATACAAATTTCTTCCCATTTAAAAATTATTGACTTAGAAACATTCTGAACATATCCACTGAAGAACAGGGTATGTCTTATAATCACTACAAGCTATAACATTAAAAGTAACACATCCTCCTCAGGCCTAGTCATAATTCTTGATTCTATTGACATTCCGGGATGAATCATGGTGTGTTGCATCCTGTGCATTGCAGGACGTTTGGCAACATCCCTGGCCTGTACCTACTGGATGCCAGCAACACCTCTGCCCTGCTAGTTATGGCAAACAAAAATGTCTCCAATGTTGCCCATTGTTCCGGGGGTGGCGGGAGGTGGGGTGCACAAAATCTTCCCTATTGAGGATAACTACACTAAAGCAAGGTGTGTGTCTGTGTGTGTTTATCCCATTTCTAGACCCAACATGAGAGAATGTGGTGACAATTCTAAGTACCATGAACTTTTCTCATTAGCAACCGACACTGCCTGTTAGCAGCTCAACAGTTACAAGTCCTCATCCTTCCATTACATTCACTCATCAGGAGATCTTACACCTGACAATAAAACTTTTGGGCAAATACACATTTTCCCCAAAATGCTCTACTTGGCTGGTAAACCAAAAACAGACTTTCCACATATTTTCTTACATGATTTGCAATTCTCAACACAATCCACTCCTGAACTGCTTATCAGTTATGCCGAAGGATATAATGTCAATTTAAAAAAGAAAAAGAATTGTTACCTGAAGAGCTGGTTGTTTGTCATTCCTCTTGGGAGATTTTAATCCACTAACTTGCTGCTGCTGTTGCTGCTGAAGAAGGAGTTGTCTTGCCACCTGAAGTGCCTGGAAAGAAAAACAGAAGAAAATCCTTTGCATTACCATACAGGTTCAGGGGACTCTTCATAAAAAAAGGATTCCAGGAAGTGCACTTTGGGGCTGGGTCCTGACTTTCCTATTTCCTGGCAAACGAAACAGCAAACAAACTTCCCACCAGTCTTAGTTGGAAAACTTTCCAGAATTTGTTTGCATTTCCTTTGACTGGGCCAATTTCATCCACAGTTCTACAGGCATCTAAGCAGACATTTTATTACATTTTATTCCTACTAAAAATCTGACATGAAATTTAAGACCATGAGTGATTGGGACTCTGCAGAAGGATGACAGAGAGACCAGGAGGGAACCAGGCAAAGAAGAAAACTTGGGAGACACTACAGGGCCCCTTTCAGGGGCACCTTCATCTTCCCTCAATTCTTGGGGAAATGTGGGAACTCATGTTGAAAGTAATACTTTCACCCCATCTGAGTCCAAATAAAGAGAAAGAACTAAGTGGTGGACCACAGGAAGAATATACACTATGGGTTGGGCTATCTAGGAAGGAAGATGAAACAGATGGGACATATCTAGGATGACCTTGACATTGACCTAGAATTTGAGAGGAAAATTTGGTAAATCTGACCTCTAGTCATCTTAAAAAGCTGTCTTAAGATGACCTCAAGTCACCTTGAAAAGGGCTATCTAGGAAAAGAAGATGAAACAGATGAGACAGAAGGATGACCCTAACCTTGACCTAGAATTTGGAGAGGAAAATATGGCAAATCTGGCCTCTAGTCACCTTAAATAGGAATATTATGTATCTCTGAACAAAACTGGATATGTTTATTACAAATGACCCTTTCAAGTTTACAATATGGGATGGTTTTTCCCTAAAGGTAGACATTGGGGAGGTAGTATGAATTGGAGATAAAGCAAGAAGAAAACAGAAGACTTCTCCAAAATGTTTAATATATGACTGACAAATCTTTTAAAAGTTCAAGTAGGCTGGGTATAGTGGCTCATGCCTGTAATCCCAGCACTTTAGGAGGCTGAGGTGGGTGGATCACTTTAAGGAGTTCGAGATCAGTCTGGCCAACATGGTGAAATCCCTTCTCTATTAAAAAGACAAAAAATTAGCTGGGCATGGTAGCATGAGCCTGTAGTCCCAGCTACTTGGGAGGCTGAGGCAGGGGAATCACTTGAGCTGGGGAAGCGGAGGTTGCAGTGAGCCGAGATCACACCACTGCACTCCAGCCTGGCAACAGAGCAAGATTCTGTGTGTGTGTGTGTTTGTGTGTGTGTGTGTGTGTGTGTGTGTGTGTGTGTGTNTGTGTGTGTGTGTGTGTGTGTGTGTGTGTGTGTGTGTATAAATTAGCTCGGCATGGTGGCAGATGCCTGTAATCCCATCTACTCCAGAGGTTAAGGCAGGAAAATCGCTTGAACCTGGGAGGTGGAGGTTGCAATGAGTCAAGATTGCACCACTGCACTTCAGCCTGGGTAACAAAGTAAGCTCCCATCTCAAAAAATAAAATAAAATAAAAGTTCACGTAAAAAGGAAAAACCAATGCCATCAATAAACCCCCAAGAAGACATTTACTGCCAAGAAATTAAGAACAGGAATAATGGCTAGCCACACACTTTTCCAAAGATAGCAGAAGGATCAGCAACAGAAAACTAAAGTTTGCAGATATTGTGCTAGAAAGTCATATGAAAAGTTGGGTTACTTGAGAACCAAGAAAGTACACATGGCAGAGATGTCCAGAATACTCACTAAATGATGTGCTTAGAGTTTAGAGACAAAATGAGCCTTCTTGAGTGTTACATCCATAATAATTTCTATATGGTAACCAAATTATTTATGCATCAAAGAAGAGGCACACACAGATGTAAGTCAATGCATCAAAAGGACCTGAGGCTATAGTTTTAGAAACTTAGCATAATAGACTTATGATGGTAGTGTGTTCCTTAAAAAGAAACAGGTGTTTCATTTATATAAGAAAATAACATGTATATTTACAAGAAAAGTTACAAGGGAAATGGTGGAGTGGAAGAGAGGTAAGAGCGCCTTGGTGTCCCTGTAGATTGAACTCAGAAGAAAGAGAAAACAGAGTGGGTCAAGAGGATTCGTGGTCATGAGCAAACACCTAAAAATGTGGAATGTGCAGAACAGTACTTCTAAAAGGACAAGCTCACTGAACTGCGTTCATAACTACAGTTGTAACAAAGGATATTTTTAAGACACTGTGTAAGGTTGAGTGGCACCTTTGTGTTTAAGAGGCGCAAAGGAAAGCTAAGAAACAGAAGCACCGATAGATGAGTGACAAAGAAAGGAGCATGGGAAACTGGAACCCTGCTATCCCACCTCCCTACTGCATTCACCCCCGTGTCCCAGGGAGGCCTTCTGCCTACTCAACTCATCACGACCAGCCCTTCAGATGCAATGTACGGGCTAGTTCATCTGTGAAGGGAGAAACAGATTCGACAGAACCTCCCTGGAAGAGCCTCGAGAAAAGGGGCTGTCTGAGTGGGGCATCTGGAAGCCAAGGCGCCTGGGAGAGTTGCCTGAGACTCCAGCCTGCTGTCTCAGGGAGGATTCACCATCACTGGACTCCGGGTTTTCTTGTCTCCTTGGAGACGCTCAGTACATGCGTAGGTGTAAAAGTGGGCAGAGTGAAGATTTCATTTATATCATATAAGAAAAATAGTCCCCTTTGCAAGGTGCCTGCAGGAGCAAAAGCCTCTCCACCTACTATATATGTTCCCTTAGCTATTTCACATGAAGGTTTTATGGCTTTTAATGTAGAAAAGGGAACTGTTATATATTTTAAGTGCTATCATCAGAGTTCTCAGAGTAATAGACTGATCAGCAAAGAGGGGTTTGGTTGTCAGCTGGAAAGGCAGAGAGGGACTGTAGATGACAGTGCAGAGAAAAATATGGTGGGAAAGAGGAGAAAGGTTACATCCATTTAACAGTAAAATAAAGCAAGCAAAGAAAAACAAAGTATGGAAGACCCCCTATAACTTACCACATTTCACCAAATACTGGGAGAATGGGTACTCAGTTTTTAAACAGCCAAGTCTCAGAGAAGCTATAGTCAACTCTTCATTTCAGCAAAGTGTCTTTAAGAAAAACATTCACACAAAACTATTCTTTCCTCTTTTTCAGAGGATTCTTGCTCTGTCGCCCAGGCCGGAGTGCAGTGGCATGATCTCACCTCACTGCAACCCACCTCCTGGGTTCAAGCAATTCTCCTGCCTCAGCCTCTTGCCACTACGCCTGGCCAGTTTTTGTATTTTTAGTAAAGACGGGGTTTCATCATGTTAGCCAGGCTGGTCTCCAACTCCTGACCTCAGGTGATCCACCCGTCCTGGCTTCCCAAAGTGCTAAGATTACAGGCATGAGCCACCACGCCTGGCCATCACAACACTATTCTCATATGAGCATGGTTTCATAAATGTACATAAGCAAAAGAAAGTACAGAACTTAAAGCTAAGTTTTCAACAAACGCTTACTGAGCTGGTTCTACAGAATGATCATATATTTCAATATAAGCTACTGGAATCCTCAGATTTATTTTTCTGGTTGGAAGGGGGTAAAAAAGTCATGTATAATATATTTTTTTCAGACCCCACGTAGGGTACATGAACTTAAATAACCATGTTGTAAACCCCAGCTTCTTCATAGCATTTCATACAGAGGCCCACTAAAGATGACAATCTAAGATAAACACATGGGGGAAAGGGCTTGCAAATTTGTATGAACCCAAGGGAAACTGTAGCTGACCTACTGAACAGAGAACACCATAAGAAAGACAAGCAAACTGGCTTCCAAATTTCAGCTCCCAAATGAATAAACACAGGTAAAGTAACTTTAAATATTTGGGATGGGGAGATAACATTAGTGCAGAAAATAATTCATTTTGATATGAATTATCCCACAATAATTCCCCAGCTTTATCCTGGGTACGTTAACAGAGTAGGAGCAAATTACTATCCATATCCTCCCCAAATTAAAATCCATTTAAAAATTGCCTTAGGTCTCAGCAAGAGTTTTAAAACCTAACTGAACAGAACTTATAACACGCTTTGAAATCAACCACTAAAATATGTTTTCTGTTCTAATTTCCATGATATATAAATCACTGTGGTCTAGATTTTAAATTGTCACATGCAAGAAGAGGCAATAAACCCTTAGTGTATAAGACTATGTATCTGGGCATTACAATACACATCTCTGGCATCTACCATTTGTAAAAAGTAACAAGTGCTAATTATAATGCTCACTGTTGATTAGTGGAAAATGTGGAATGACTGATGGGATCCCCTGTGGAAACTATGTCAGAGACCTATGTTCATCATGTTTCCTGTAGATGATGACTCGACAGCCATTTTTACCTGTTATGTGCATCAGAACAAATTATGTCCTTCATCTCAGACTACACTGCCTAAACCCCAGTGATAATCTTCTTTTTTTTTGAGGCAAGGTCTCACTCTGTTACCCACGTTGAAGTGTAGTAGCACAATCACAGCTTACTGTAGCCTTGACCTCCTGGGCTCCAGCAATCCTCCCATCTCAGCCTCCTGAGTAGCTGGGACTACTCAGGAGTAGTCCATACCCAGTTGATGTTTTCATTTTTGTAGAGACTGGTCTCACTGTGTTGCCCCAGCTGGTCTCAAACTCCTGGGCTCAAGTAATCCTCCTACTTTGGCCTCAAGCAATCCTCCCACTTTGGCATCTCAAAGTGTTGGGATTACAGGTGTGAGCCACTGCGCCCAGCCAGAGATTATCTTTATTCCAATACAGTCGAGGAGTGAGAATGGACTTTTCTTTATAACAATATCTCAATCACAATTGGAGAAAAGTCCCTTAGGATACATTGTTTGAAGATAAAATTAGATTCTCTGGATACAGAATAATGTGTGGGGATAGGTGTTTGTTTGTATGGGGTAGGAAGAAGGAGGGGTGAAGAAGGAGGAAGGAGAGGGCAAGCCGCAGAAAGAGAGGCAGAAAGGATATGAATAAATGAAAG